CCGAAAAACCCCTCCGTGCCGCCCTACCTATCTCCCCGTGTCGCCGTGCGTGTACGGAGACAGATATAATACCCGTAACCGACGATCGGCGGTGGTGATGTATGGGCCGGAGGGGGGGGGGGAGAGGGGACGAGCACGGTAAACCGAACGGGTCCCTGTTTTTGGGCGAACGATCCCTTTATATACACACACGATTCATGTATCGCTGTTATATCTGTCACTCTATCTATCGCTCGCTCGCTCTCTCTCTCTCTCTCTCTCTCTCTCTCTCTCTCTCCTTCTCTTTTTCTGTGTGTGTGTGTGTGTGCGCGCGATATCATACACATCACGTCTTCATCGTCACAATAATAATAACACGCGTTTATATATATATATGTATATGTATATGTATATATATGTACAGTGTTTTGTCGTCAGTGCGACGCGTACTGCGCATCTGCACCGCGCGACACGGCGATAAAACCGTAACGGTATAATCAGGGCCGTTTATAGGCACGGGACGGGGGTTTTTTTTCCCCCAGCCCCGTACGCCGCCGCGGCGCAAACATTGCAATGCCGAATCGACAGCCGGAACAACGCCCCGGGAACGACCGGCGGCGGGTGTCGCGGACAAAAACAGTGACGGTGCGCGCGACAGGACGGGCTACGACCCGTGCGTATCGTGCGGTTCGCGCACAAATTATCGCAGCACTTAATGGGCGACCACGCGATTGCGCGAGAAAACATTGTAAACGACGAACAACTCGCCAACACGATAATATTGCGTTGCACGTGCCTACTACACGCACGGAGACAACGGCAATGCCGAAACTAAACTTAAATTGAAATCGATTAAAAATAATGTCAGTTACTGAAAAAAAAAAAAAAACAAAAAAAAATACAATACAAATAATTGAATACGACGTATGCGTACACATTCGTACCTATTCGGGTACCCGCGTGAACGGTTCGCGAACCGCTCCAAAGGTTCGCTTTGAAGCGATTCAAATAAATGACAAATTCGAATGTCCGGTTTCCCTACTCTCTTCGCCGTGGATATTATCGATTATAAATGTTTTCAAACGCGTAACGCACACCAAAAGCACATTTCCAACCGTACCGGAGCAGTTAGTATAGTATTCGCCGGCAGTCCGAACGGGTTTGCACAAGTGGAAAGGAAAACGCGTGAGCAAACGAGTCGCGCAAATGTGGTGCGCGAATCGCGCGCGCCCGGACAGGACCGCGAAACCTCTCTCGGCGGTTGTCCTAAGCCAATCGGACGTATTACGGAGCGTATCAGAGACCGCGGCTAGTGACCCTAAATGATACGTTTGGACGCTAGACGGCCGAGAGGATGTACGAATTGCGGTCTTCTCTAAAAACATTCGCGTCGGATCCGAGTAACGAGAGCAATACGCCGGATTTCACGGATTTTAGAAGAGCGAGAATCGTAAACCGAAAACGCACGGCCGATGAATGACGAGTTTAATATACGGGAGGAATACGATTCCGCGGGTTTTTTTTGTATCGAACGCGATTCAGCACGCTATACTATTCATAAGTATACAAACTGATAGGGGGAGCGTGACAGCATCACATGTCTCCGTGATAGTACACCCGCGATGTGTTTGTTTGTGTTTTTTTTTTTCTTCTTTTGTTAAATCGCCTGGTCGATGTCCGCTCGCCCGACAAAATAATGACATCTGCAGTATCATATCAATTAGTACGTCCGGTATTTAAGGGGCTGCGTATAGGCAACTCCGGCTCCGCGATATTTCGTTATTATTCCGCGTTCGAATAACGTGACGTTTACAAATGATTTGGTCTCGTTGTTATCGTAAGCGGTATATCGATAAATGGCGTAACAGCGGAATTGTTCGAAACCGGGGGAAAGAAAAAATAGAAAACGTTTCGATAATTTAAATTTAGAGTCAAAACACCCGTGTGTTATACAGTTTGTAATCGATTAGACGACAAACGGTATGCGACTTGTACTCTCCGTTTGAAACGGACTTGTTTCAAATCTCTACAAGCATTCTACGAGCCAATAAACGACTGATTGTTCGAGCAATGCACGACGAAAATTCCGACGTTGGGGAGTGGCTGAATTTCGTGTTTTCGGTTTGCCCCGTATTTTCCGCCGGCAGAAGTAGAGATTCGAATTTTTTTTTTTTTTTCCGATTATCTCACGGCAACGTCCGCGGACAGGTGTTTCCAAAGACAGTCCCGAGTCTGTGAAACGAAACAGAAAACGTACGCAAGAACGTGAATCGTTCGCAAACGAGCGAACCGCCCGGATAAACGACACGCGCCCGTCTGTATCGAAACGTTCGCGCGATCGTTCGAAAACCCGGGACGACGCTCCCGCGGCCGGTGGGCGATTTCTTCGGTTTTACCGTAAAAAAAAAAAAAAAAAAAATTAACCCGTTCAAAATGTCCTCGAATGTCGAATTCGATTGACCGACGCGCCGGAAAAAAAAAAAAAATAATAATAATAACCGCTTCAAGTCCCCCTCGTACGACGGCCGTCGGTTAGGTATCGGTTACGCGGTATCCCGCAAAACGGTTACCCGGCATAGCGTACAAAACGCCGTGTCGCGCGGCCAATGCGAACCACGGGCGTAAGTAAACGGCGGTCCACCCGGAAAAACGGACGCGACGGCCGGGCCGCAGATGTACACGCCCCGCGTTCAATTAATTCGGGCGGCCCGTCATCCGCAAATTACATCTGCCGCCGCGCGCACGTGCGCGTTTTTCGATAATCGCGCGCGGGAAATACCGCGGCCCCCGGCGCGTTCGGATCGGTTTGCGAGACGACCGCGGTTCAACGAGAGATCGGGGAAATCGGGTTGTCGCGGCCGTAATCACGGACCGGGGGGTGGGGGGTGGGGGTTTAATTTTAAAGTCTATTTATTACGATTTATTACAAAATACAAGCGAGCGAGAAAAAATAGCTCCGAACGGAGTGACCATAAAAAACAAAAAAAACCGTCCTAGGGCGACGGGGCGACGGGTGCAACGCCGCTGTTACCGGTAATTTGGTGTGTTCGATGTAAGCTGTAATGATAAAACCGTCGCTAACGGAAAAAAAAAAACGGTTCCGAGTGCAGTCCAGTCGGTAGTGATGCTTTGCAAACGATACATAGATACAGATATGAGTCATATTACGGTAAAACAATCAAATAGGAACAGCGCGTTTTCATTAATGATGCGTGTTTGATGTTGTACCGAGTTTCCCGTGTCGTTCCCCGGGTTTTCGCATTTGCCGGGCAAACTCTCGGGAAAATCGAAAAAACGTCTTCCTCAGAGTACATTCTCGGTCAGATTTCCTTTTCGGAAGAGCCGCCATCGTTTTAAATGCCGAACGAATTTTCAGATAGAAATATTGTACACAGAAAAAGAACAATAGCCGTAATATTTTTTTTCTCAGACCTGCGTCTCGTACGTTTTCCGTTTTTCCGACATATCGTTATCCCGGTATTTTCCGGATATTATGAAAAAAGAGCTTGAAAAATCAAAAAAAAAAAAATTACCATTTGGAGATAAAATTTCCTCTCGAAAAATAAACTACACTCGGTACATCGGAACAAGATTTCTGGTAGAATGCACAACAGATCGATGAGTAGTTTTCGATTAAAGTTGTCCGAGCGAACGATAGCTGGGGTCTCTAGGTACACATAAAATGCATTTGTTTTTTCCCTGTTTAGGCAAAAGGAAAAAAGGAAGTACAAACAACTTTTTTTTCGTAACACGGGTTTGAACTCGCGAACCCTAGGATGACAACTGGTATGTATAGCCATTTGGTTATGACAAACATATTCAAAGTGGACGATATAGAATTATAGTACTGTAGAATTTCAATTCGACATATAATATCCACATAATGTCAGAACATCAAAAAGCTATAATTTTGAAAATTAGTCCGTTCATTTCGGACTTCACCATCGTTCCGAAGTCGGCAATATACATGTATTCAAAAAAAAAAAAAATAAATAAATATTTGTTCCGCATAATTTTTCACTCAAACGATTTTCGTCAAAACGTTCCTTATAATTTCCTTATAAAAAAAAAAAAATACTACGTTAAACAAAATTTTTTTTTTTTTGATCACAAAGTATGACTTTTAATGAACCTCCTGTTAAATTATCACGAACATCTGTTAAGTCTAAAAAATTTACCACAGTGTACCTACCGAATAAAAATTTCATACAAAACTCGCACAATTAAAATGTCAATAAATAGCTCGAAAATAATTTAAACTTTTTAAAAATTTTGTTACGTCTAGAAAAGATATAAATATAAGTTTTTTGTCTATATTCCAAGTCGATAAAATCGATAGGAATTTTAGGAACTAACTTTCAACAAAAAGTCAGATTTTCTTTCAGGGAATGTGCTGTAATTGAAAATCGGAGCAAAATATTACTGGTAGAAAAATTGTTCACAAATAAAAAAAAAAAAAAAAAAAACATCATTGTAAAACCCACGCATTCCTCTCTCCGCTCATGATCTAAAAGGGCACGGGCCCACTTCATAAGTTTAGGGCGAACGTTAACGACAATTTTCGCGGTAAACGAATTACCGAAAAGCCGGCACGGTCACTTCACACCGCGGGTGTGCCACTACCGTGCGAGTTTGGAGTGTACAATTACTGGAGCGCGTTATGGTAATTTAATTTTACAACCATACGCAGTGTTAAATCGGCGCGAACGAAAATCGATTGCGGATTGAGTTCGGTTCAACCCCGATGACGTGTCGATAATGTTTTAAATGAAAATCGCGTGTTTTTTGGTACTATCGCGAAACATAAATGACAATGAAAAAAAAAAAAAAATCACTCAATAACCACGCCCCTCCCTTTCCACGACGGAAATTCGATCCCGCTCCTCAGTTATTGATATTCATACAGACACATTCACACCTATTGCACGCACCGACCTAACAGAATGCAAACGGCGGTGCGCACCGAACTCGAAAATACTTACGTATATACTGGCCTATACCCAAAGTTTTCAATCGCAAAGGTGAAGTTATTCTAAACAAACTGCGAACGGTCCACTCAAAGGTGTCCCGCGGCCATCTCGCGCTGCGGACCTCTGACAATAGACCGCTTTCAATAGTCTGTATACTGTCTAAACACTCTAAACCACGTGGAAACCAGAAGAAAAGCCCAGGGAGATTCCAACAGACTTTTTCGGACCTCGTAGCCCGGACGAAGACGACAGCAAACAAAACCGTTCGATTCATCAAACACGCCGATACGTACCCGCACAATTTAGAATTTTCGGACGTTATACACGCTTTAAGAGGCCGTAACATTTACGATTTGATAACAATTTGAAAACGTTCCCGTTTTCCCTACGTTTATTGTGAAAACCCCTGGGAACATCAAAAAAAAAAAAAAAAAACCGATCACCCCGAAGCGGCGACCCAGTCAGATTTCCTTTCAGAAAAATCGCTACGGTTGAAAATTCGGAGCGGAATCGCCGGAGAGTAAAGCTGTCCGCGGGAAAACAAAAGTAGAATTGTTGTTGTCGGGGCGTTTTCGGAGGCGATTCGAGTACGCCCGAACGGTCTGCGCTCTATGGCGCACCCAGATTGTTAATTGACTTACCGATGAATTGTACCCGTACTGTACGGTTGTGTTATCGTTTGTTATTATTTTTATTGACGTTGGCCGGCTGCGAATTGGATTTATTCGCGTTTTCCGCGGTGCAGAATTTACATTAAAAACAAATGTTGTACGCCGTAAATCGAACGCTGTCGACATAGTCGGAAGCCGGTTAATCGTACGGCCGTCGGGGGGCGACTCGTGCACAAGAGCCGCGTCAGCGACACCCACGCGAAAGCTGGGAGGCGGACAATAGTTTTGAAAAACCGCGAAGATCGCTTGTTCGAGTGACTTTCGAAATTAAAAAAAAAAAAAATACATATCGCCGCGGCAGGCGATTCGGGGGCGTCTCGCGGGCGCCCCGGTCCGGAACTCGGCGTCAGGCGGATTGCGTCCGATCGCCACGAAACCAGGCGAATGGCGTCCGCGTCGTAATTGACCGTCGCTTGGAACTCACCACCGTGGATTATCGTTGTTGTTTAATTCACTTCCGCTCGTCCGAACACTCCGCTCTCGACGGACAATTCGAACGCGAACGCGAACCGCGGGCCCGACAAGTCGCCCGCACGCCGTCGCCGTGTCGCACGCGGACCGGGACATTTCTCGCGGCAATTCCGTGCCGCCGCGAGTGCCGGGGACGCGGATTCGCCGGCGGCCGCGCGCGTTGAGATTTCATTTCGTCGGGGCCGCGATTCGCCGAACCCGCGGTACCCGACGTGCCCGCGCGGCCGTTCCGACCGGCGGCGACGGCTGCGGCGGCGACGGCAGCGGCGGTACGGCAGCGGCGGTACGGAGCGGGGCACGACGATAATACGCGCCGCCGGTGTAGCGGCGTACACGCGAGAACGACGCGCGATCCGGCCGCCGCCGCCGCTACGTTTCCTCAACAAGTCACACACCGCGGCGACGCCATTCTTCACGGGCCGCGGCGGCGGCGGCGGCGGCGGCGGGTAAACATTAATTATTGTCTCCCGGAAACTTTCTACATTTATATCCCTCCGCCCGCCGCCGCCGCTCTGCCGCGGTGTCTTAATATCACTGCCGCCGCCGCAGCACAATGCGATTCGACCGAAACACACCCCCGAATCTTCTACCACACCCGCCCCCCACCCCTACAGCCCCGACGCCGCCGTCATTATGTTATACGGGACGTTGTGTGTGTGTGTGTGTGTTCGCGCAGCGCACGCCGGGAATCTCCGCGAGGGAATTCGCGTATACTCGCGCCGCGCCGAAATCCGCCCGCCCCCCCTCCCGTCCCCCCCCCTCACGGGCGAGGACGTACACGGTACACGCGTGCGGTATAAACGCGTATTACGCTGCGCGGTGGAGGGGGGCTGCGTATATTATTATCGCGGCCGAAACGCGCGGTTCCCGGCGAGCCCGCGGTCGCGGACGTGTCGATACGAGTCGGTCCGGCCGACGGAACGACGGTCGCGTTTGTCGGTCGTCGTTCCGTCGCCGTCGTCCCGAACAACACACGCGACCCGCCGCGTGACGGGACGGTGGCGTGGTCGCGACGACACCGCCGTGTCGTGAAAAAAAATCGAAGAGTAAACAACGCGCCGCGCGGTACGGAAAAAGTCACCGAACAAACACGAAACACGATGGAGATTTTCCCCGTGCGCCCCTTCCGGTCTCGTCCGTCCATCGGACGCAACGCCGTTTGATACCGGAACAGGATTTGCCGAACGACAGACGGACGGATCAGACACACGGACACGAACCCGGGTCGGAAACGAGAACGCGCCCTAGGACAATGAGGACGGACGCGGTCACTGTAAAACGGCAATTAAACGTCTCTCTCTGTGCGGCAACGGTTGGCCGTTGATAACGAAAAAAAAAAAAAACGATCGTGAGCGGCGTTCGGTTGATAGTGACGCTTTGTCAACGATATACGCGTGCCAAATAATCGCGGCGCAATAATTTAACCGGTCTGGTGTACCGGATTTCCCGTTTTCCCTACATTTTTCCCGGTTTTTCCGCGGTATCGGCGGGTTATTCGCTCACGCGGCGAAAACTCTTGGCGAGTTCTCTTGCCCCGAAAAGTCGTCCGCGGCGAAAAAATCACGACACCTTCATAAATTCCGCGAAGCCCCGTCGGCTCCGCTCGGAGTGTGAAATGGCCGAAATTCCGAGAGCGACCGTCGTCGTTACGTTATAAACGTCAAAACACGCGCGGCGGCGCAATACGTTCCGCCGGTTCGACTTTTCGTCCCGTTTTTTCCATGTCGTCCGTCCCCTGTCGTCGGTACCGCAAGACTCGGGACCTATTCGACTTCTCTCGAGACGCGCTCGCTCGACAGGGGCCGCTTCGCAACGGCGTTTCCGCGGTTGTTGCGCACGGCCAGTCCGGCGGGCGTGTTTGTGTTGCGCACGGCCGCGGCGTACGGTAACAGCGATGGCCGTGTTAAGAGAGAGATAGAGAGAGAGAGAAAAAAAAACCATTCTCGTTTTACGAACGAGAGACGACAAACGTCGTCCGGGCGCAACAGTTATAATAGTCCGGCGCAAGAGCGCGCACTAAACAGATGGAGAAGACGCCGGCCGGCAGCCGTCGCGAAAAGAAAATTGCCTTCCGTGCGCAGTGCGCGTGTCGTTCGAATTGCAGGTGCCCGTTTGAAAACTTTCACGCGGCCCCGCGCCCGTTTCGTTTCTGTACACTACAACACGCTGCCGACGCCTTATACGGGCCCGGTCCGCGAGCGCCGTGTCGGGTGATCACTTATCGCGCCGTTCGTCTATTTCTAGTGTCCCGCGTTTCCGTACGGTATTCCCGGCGACCGCGCGGTACACTGTCGCCGGTTCGCGTCCGCGAACGGGGCGAACGCCTCTGTTTCGGCCGGGACGCCGGCGGCCACTCGTTCGCGTTCGTTTGCGCGCCGCGAAACGAACGTCGGACATTCGGCGGCCCTTGAAAACGTTACGGTTGCGTACGAAACACCGGCGACGCGCACCGCTCGGTTTGTTTACATTATGCGCACAATTGTCACGCGAATGCGATTCCGTAC